CTATTCTGACCTGCACTTATGTGTGACTGCATTGCCTTTCCTAAAAATCCCTCCTGTGAAATTCATCACACCCTTGAATGCCCAGAAAGACTTAAAATGACTGTTTCCCAGCCTGTTTCACTGACCAGGGTATCTACTTTCCTGGTCACACTTCCCTTTGCCTCCTACTTCTCCTCCTTCCTTGCAGCAAGCCACTAACCTTAATGCTGGTTCTCCCAGGAAAAGTCCTAGGACTCTGTTGAGGAACTATCTTTGAGCAATTTTTTTTTATATAGTTGTTTTTAAGGGTGAAGTTGATCCAAACTCTCTCTTCCACCATGATGTCTTTGAAGATATTTATAGTGAGGTTTTTTTTTTTTTTTGAAGATTTATTTATGTATGTGTACAAGAACTGGGGTATAGGCCAGAGGTGGGGGTAGGTGAGACGATTCACCAGAGACAGAGTGGGGAGCAGAAAAGACAGATCTACTGAGATACACTGCTGAGGGGAGCAGCAGGTATGATAGGAGAGGTCTGCTGCGCCATGTGGGTTAGCTCCCTGACTGGCCAATGTCCGAACTTGTGCTGCAGTGGCTGGCAATAGCTTGATAACACTGTGTCTTTAACCCTTGTGCCACCAGGGAGGCCCTCTAGTGAATTTTAAATGGTATATTCTATATAACCCTGGACCATTAAAGATTGAACTGGATCTTCTGTCTGAGCTCAGTAATTCCCACAGTTTTGGGGAACAGTCTGCTTTAAGTCTGGAACTCAGCAATCTCTCTAAATCATCAGTCTTTTTATTTCTATCAGTGAGGCTTAGTTGAGGATGATCTCTTTACCAGTTCTTATTCAGACCCATGACTCATTATAGTGCCATCAATAGATGTGAACATTATTCAGATGAGTGTTTTGAGACGATAGGGTAAAACAGAAAGCACTGGAAAAAGATAGAATTTGATTAAGCACCTTCAGAGTTAAGCTGTTTCATTTGATAAATTATACTACTATATCAAACATAGTTTGAAAGAAAATTAACTTTGCTTTAATTTTGCCAAATATTCTAAAATGGGATATGGATATGTAACATTAAAGTCATGTGTTTTTAAAGGTTATTCATTATTAGCTTTCATCTAAATGTTTACTGTGTTCAATCACAGAGAATTAGAAAGATTATATGTGATTTAGCTCGAAAAATATACAGACTAAAAAGTGAAAAGTAAAATATATTTAAAAGGCTCTGAAAATATACCATGATATCAAGTTGGACTCTGCAAACTATAGCTATTGTTGGCCTTACATATCATTCCTTGATATCAAACAAAGATGTTTGATATTGAATAAATATATATGGGTTGAAGCTGAGTATCTTCTTATACAGAAAAACAATAAAGGCTAAGAATTTTTGTTTCTTTTTTTTTTAAAGATGTATTTATTTATGCATACAAGAGCTGGGGTGTAGGCTAGAGATGGGGGAGTACGAGTATTTAGACTGTCATTCTGGTTTTTTTTTTTAAAGATTTATTTATTTATACGAGAACTGGGGTACAGGCCAGATGTGCAGAATGGTGAGAGGATTCACTAGAGACAAAATGGGGAGCAGAACAAGGGGATTGACTGAAATACACTGCTGACAGGAGCAGCAGGCAAGTCAGCAGAGGTCTATTGTGCCATGTGGGTCAGCAACCTGGCTGGGGATCAAGCTTGTGCTGCAGTGGCTGTGAATTGCTTCATGTTGCTGAGACTTAACCCCTTGTGCCACCAGGGAGGCCCCTACAAATTTTTTGATTTGCTCTCTCATTATAATCATGAACATTTTATAATTTATAAGGAAAATGGCCTACAAGTTAAAAAAGTGTATCGTGTCAGAATAAAAGCTTGCTGTTGAAAATCAATATCTAATACATATGTGATGAATCTCTTTGCACCAATATACTAAATCATTCATAGGTTTCCATGATACAAATAGGCATATAGTTCAGTTTATTTTATGTTGCTGGAATCCTTCTATAACTCTGAACTTTCACAGTTGGGACTTTTTGTGAATTAGAGCTTAGCTTTGACTTCTCTCCAAGGGCATATTTGAATATCTTCCCAACCATGACTTAAGGTTGGGAAGCAAGAATACTTTATCATGCCTCCCCTGGTGGCTCAGTGGTTGAGCGCTGGGCTGCGAAGCTGCCTGCAGCCTCTGCAGCACCGGTTCGATCCCCGGCCACCGCGAGGGTCCCACATGGCGCGCAGACCTCTCCTGCCGCCCGCTGCCCTCCTCAGCAGTGTATTTCTTCGTCAGTCTGCCTGTTCTGTTCCCCGCTCTGGCTCTGGTGAACTCTCTCACCCTCCTGTGCTTCTGACTGTACCCAGTGCTTGTATAAATAAATAAATAAATAAATAAATAAATAAATAAATAAATAAATAAATAAATATTTTAAAAAATAAAATAAAAAAAGAATACCTTATCATTACAAATCTCTTAACAATACAGTACTAGAAGAGAAAGAATATTCAAAAAACATTGGTTTTTCAATATTAGAATAATATTCATTTTATTTTATATCTGAAAATGGCAGGTTTATTTAAAAAAAAGGGAAAGGAGAAGAAGATGCTGTCACAGACACAAGCAGTTAGAAAGAGCTGCATCTGAAAGGGATGGGTTTGTTAAATAAATACAGGGAGAGACAATTTTGGGACTAGAGTGGCTAGAATAACATTTTTTTAATTAAAAAAGTAAATTATTTAACTAATTCATTTTAAATTACTATACTTTAATTTTTGGACAATATATGATTTCTCCCCTCAGGTGTGGTCACTGTAGTACCCGCAGTCCATCACCATATTCCCTTGTGATGTTCCCCCCATCCCCCCACCCACTTCCACCAGTCCCCATCCCCTAGCAGTTCCCCACCCCTCATGGATGCCTCTTATCTATGGTCAGCTTTCAAGATTTGACTTTGACCCTTTGTTTGGTCTTTCTATATAGAATAATATTCTTAGGTTAAATCAAAGTATAGAGCATATTATCCATGTATGAATCACTAGTCAATAGCAAAATTATGTTTCATCATTAATGAAATAGTAACTGCAATAATTTCCAATGTGCTTCGCTGAAAAAAAGTTAAATAAATAATTTTGAAAAGATTGCAAATGAGTTAGTTTTCCTATATATACTAGCAGAGAAAAATGCATTAATGAACTAAATATTAATAATTCTACATAACTTTGCTCTAATCTGTGTGTTGCAAAGTCATTTTCTGTGTTTAATGTCTCCTAAATAAATCTTTAACATTCATATTTAAAATAAGAAACACAATATAACTATTGGCACAGTTATAAAATCTTTAAGGTATTTTCAAAACTTTACAATGAACTAATATTATTTTTAAAAATCTAAACATAAAAATACAGTAAAATTATTTCTTTTTTAAGTTATTTATTTATTTATTTATTTATTTATTTATTTATTTATTTATTTATTTAATTATTTATACAAGCACTGGGTACAGTCAGAAGCAGGGGAGGGTGAGAGAATTCAGAGCCAGAGCGGGGAACAGAACAGGCAGACCGACGAAATACACTGCTCAGGGGAACAGCGGGTGGCAGGAGAGGTCTGCGCACCATGTGGGACCCTCCCCTGTGGCCGGGGATGGAACTGGTGCTGCAGAGGCTGCAGGCAGCTTCATAGCCCAGCGCTCAACCACTGCGCCACCAGGGGAGGCCCAGTAAAATTATTTCTTGAAAAAGATTTTAATGTGTAATGTTGACAAAATGTTTTTGCAAAATATGAATATTGTAAAAATTATTATTTTAAATAGTATATTGCTGGTGAAGATATATATGGACATTGCATCTTTTGTAGTTTGCAGCATAATAATTTATTATTTCTCATGATGCTGTGGTTGGAATTGGAATCAGTAGACTAGCTGGGTGATTCCTCTGCTACATATGGTAAGGGCTGGGGTCACACACCACATGTGAATAGCTGCGTCTGGTGGTAGGACCCGACTTGAGCTTCCAAGAAAGTTTTAATTACATGCCCTACTTCTCAGCGCTCCTATATGACTCATATCTCTTTTCATTACTATTACTTTTTCATTTTATCTACAATTTAGAGTTTATGTTCAGCATGAAATTTTAAAAATTGAAATATAGTTTGGGTATAAGGTAATTATTATAAATCTATAAATTTAATATGTAGAAACTTTAACATTAATGTAAATTTGGAAGATCTACCTATTTCAATTTATTCCAGAACTATGATGTCCAAAAAATGTCCCTATACAATTCTGTTTCCAAAAAACTGGTTATCATTTATTGCAAAATGAGGAGGAAAAAGACATCTTATGAAATGTATGACTAATAGTGGAGTAAATATATATATTTTCAGAACATTGTGTATGCTATTAGCAGTCTTACTATTGGGGAGATCTGTGGCTGTTTTTAATTGTTTCTTTTTTTTTTTTTTTTAAATATTAAATTTTATTTTTATATTCCCCATACAATTGCAAACGCCCCATTCTGACCCCAATCCTTCCCCTCCGCCCCCCCCCACCCCCCAAAAAGTGTCTCTGGTTCATAGTTTTTTGTTGATTTTGATTTTCACTTTCTTATATTCATTTTCCTGGTCCCTTATTTAAGTTTTCTAGATTCCTGCTATGAGTGAGACCATCCGGTATTTTTCTTTTTCTTTTTGGCTTATTTCGCTGAGCATGATCCCTTCCAGTGCCATCCATGTTGCTGCAAATTGCATGTGTTTATCTTTTTTTTTGAATGCTGAGTAATATTCCATGGTATATATGTACCACATCTTCTTGATCCAGTCATCTATTTTTGGGCATTTGGGTTGTTTCCAAAGCTTAGCTATTGTAAACAGTGCTGCTATAAACATAGGAGTGCAGGTGCTCTTTGGAATTGATGT